TCTTTCTACCCTTTACTGTGGCACATACTGATATGAAATCAAAGCTCCTGTCAGTAGGTGCATGGATGACTCCAGTCATCCTGATTTTGTTATTTAAAAAAGTCATATTTGTAAACTTGGAGGTAAGTTTGCTTATACATAACTGTTAATAGATGACATAACTGTTAATAGATGAGTCATTTTGTTCTATTACCTTTTTTTGTCAGATGTGAAGTCCCTTCTGGTACATGTGCATGCACGTGTGCACATTTTGAGCTGTTCTTGTGAAGTGCAGCTCTTCTGTGAGAACCTCTTTCACCAGCTGCTGCCTCAGCCCTTAAGTTCACCTTTGCTTGGGCTTCGCTCCCTGGCAGATGGACAAGTGTTCCTGATGCACTTGGAAAGGGTACTTGCTTTTATGCCTCTAGTAAGTTACTCCTCACAGTTACTTTTTCCTCTTTTGTGATTTCTTTTTACATTTAAAATTCCCATTATCTATCTTTTTCCTGTTGGTTAGACCTGTCCTCTTGAAACAAGTGTTTATTTTCTTTTATTAGCCTAACTTAGTCTCATCTACCTGTATTGGCTTTCATTGATTTTACTGACTCTGGCACCTATTTACCCTGCACCTCTAAGTAATTTAAGACTATTGTGCTTCCTATAAAGACTTTAATTTCCTTTCAAACTGCTTATTTTCTAGCTTTGAGGCTGCACCTGATTTTGGATTTAGTCAAACAATGATCTGAGATCGAAGTGCTCAAATCCCAGATCATTCTGGATGGTGACAGTTCTGTCTCAAAGCAGACTTTGCATGTAATTCAAGGCTACACTGAGAACACTGCTTCTAAAGATCTATTTCAAGAAAGTACTTGAGATTCTCACCTTTGGCTTTTGGGTGGCTGTACAGCCCAAGACCAAACTGAGTGTTGATGAACTATTTCTCATTCCCTGTAGACTATACACAGCTGACGAGTAGACTCCGTCCAGCTATTTCAAGGCTGAAGTGGAAACTTCAGCCTTGTGTGGGCACCAATGATAATATTGAATATAGTGTGAATAACAGTGTGGACTCCAATGATAATTATTGAAGTGTTCTATGGATAAGGGCATGAAACAAATGACTAGATACTAAATGTTGCCTGGTATCAAGCAGTTGATATTTTAGGGTCTCACATGCAATAATAAAAACAGTGCAAGTAAAATACAGTTCTTCATGCACAGTAAAGGAAAAGTGCTGAAATTACTTATTGTCTTGTTGAGACAAACTGAAGTGATTTTACACGTTACCTTAGTTTTGTCCCTGTATAGGTATCAGGCTTCTAATATATCTCAACCTAGGTTACCTGGAACCACTTCCAACTCATCACATAGATGGTGTTTTTTTTTTTCAAGTTTATAACCCAACCCATGACATTCATAGAGAAGAAAATAATAGGACCAACATTTGTGATGCAAACTAGTAATGTGGTGGCTTCATGACTAATTAATCAAAATTACAACACTATGCTGGAAGCATGTAATATTGCTTCTCTTCAGCTACTGACCACTCTTCCGAAGTGTTTACTTAGTCTTACTACATTGTGTGGCTGAATATTTTATTATTCAACTTCTGAAAACAAGTCTCTTGAAATAAAATAGCATGTTTTAAATGTAATTTTGGATTGTTCCACATTTTTGTCATTTCTATTTCCTTTTCAGAACAAAGATGAGAGAATTTAGATTTCCTCAGTGTAATCTGAAAACATTAAAGAAAATATAACTTTCTTGATGAAAAAGCTACATAAGATGTATGCAGGAGTGAGAACAAATTAGGATTTCACTCTAAATTAGCAGTTCCTAACTCTAAAATTCCTCACTCAAAGTTACTTTCTGTATTTTTTGTTATGTCTGCACTTGGAAATAGCTAGTACCAAAAAAGGTGGGTCTCCAAACTGCAGTTCCCTTGAAAATAAAGGAGGGTGGATTAGATGTAGAGCTTAGTGATATGGTTTAGTGGGGACTGTTAGTGTTAGGTCAGAGGTTGGACTCGATGATTTTGAGGTCTCTTCCAACCTAGAAATTCTGTGATTCTGTGAACACTTGCTGTTTTTTTCTACTCCCCAGCACATACCTACCCTCAGGAGTAACTTAGTACTTAAGGAACTTAATATGTACACCTGAAGTAGCTGTTGTTTCACACAAATGAATGAGTATCTTACTGTAGCCATGGATCAGGTTGACTATTTTATGTCTTCTATTTTAAACTTCAAATTCCATCATTATTACTGCTAAGTGCAGTGCATAAGCAGTAAGTACTAACATGGAGGGCATCAGTGTTTGAGATCAAATTATTAAAGGATTCAAATAAGTAAATAGACTTAAAAATGATGACCTTCTTGTGTTTCACGTTCTACCCAGGCAACACAAAAAAATGTATAGGACTTCACGTTAAAAAATATCTTCCTGGCAGCATGTTCTCACTTAACTGCAAGGTGTCTGTCAGTGAGACATAGGCTAATTTCTACAATAAACAGTGATTCTTTGAACTGGCTGGGAGACTAAGCTGTCCTATAATTACCTAAATAAGGCTTAAGAAATTTTGCTACTGTTTAAGAAAGTTGTGTGTAAACATGTATATTGCAAAAGACAATTCAGACACAAGGGGAAGAAATTAGTATAAAGCCTGCATTTAGTGCAGCACTTTCATCAGGGGAAAGAAAAATTCTCATTTTGTTTCATAATAATATGTTTCATATGTCATCCTGCTGCCACTCCTTACTCTTGTCTTTCAGCTGTGAGTGTGGGCAGTGCATGCATCCCTAAGCCCCAGTTACCTGAATCTTCAGTGCTCCCAAGGGAGCAGTAGGGCTTTGTGAGGTGAATTTTACTGGAATTCCAGGAACAGAAACCAGGAACACAGACCAACGCTTGGTTTGCTCAGCCCTGAGCAGAGCAGGCTGAGGGGAGGCCTCATGGCGGCCTGCAGCTCCATCAGGAGGGGAGCGGAGGGGCAGGCGCTGAGCTCTGCTCTCTGGGGACAGCGACAGGACCCGAGGGATGGTGGGCTCCATGAGCCCTCTGGGTCCTTTCTAACTCAGGACAATCCATGATTCTGTGATTATGCTTGTTTGTTTAAAAGCAGTTGTACGATAGCACTGTATCAGTACTGAAGTTTCTCTTAAGACTATGCCACTAATTTACAATAATATTTTGTAACCCTGTTGTCCCTACCTGAATGAGCTGAGAGAAGCTGAAGTAAAAGTTACAGCAATGATCATCACCAGGGTCTCTCACCCTGGAGCACCAGCTTCCACTTGCTGTAGGGAGCCTGAGACATTTCTGGAGCTGGTGAGTCACCCAGCTGGGGCAGAGCTGTGAGCAGGGCCCCTGAACAGCCCTCCCAGGTTAGATCACTGCTTGCAGCAGCAGCCACCCCCACCCCGGCCTCCCTCCCCATGGTATCTACCAGTCAGACCAAAACCATGCTTAGTGAGCATGCGCACCTCCACTTCCTGGACATGACATTTTAGGGTGTCCTGGACATGACGTTTTAGCAGCTAGAGTTAAGGGGAGTTAACAGGGGAGTGCTCCATCTGCCCCCCAGCAGCTGGGACTCCTCCTGTTAGCCTGGCTGCTGAAGCCGCCTTCCACTGGAATACTCAAGTGCTTTTGCACTTGCCTGCAGCACTTGTAGAAGAGCCATTCCAGAAAGAGGTGGAGAAAGAGATCTGTCTGTGCATGATAACTGAGTGCCTGCAACTCCAGGAGGTCCTGGTAACAGCAGGCAGGGAGTTTAAAACAAGGCCATGAGGGGAGAGCTGCAGCAAGTCGTTCATCCCCCCTTCCCCCTCTCCAGTTAGTAAGGCACTAAGAAGACTCCAGCAAACCACGTAAATGTAGCACGAAGCTGAAATCACAAACAACAGGAATGAAGCACACAGCGCATGGGGGAGTAAAGCAGGCAGTAGGTCTTGAGGTAAAAGCTGAAGAGCACCAGCAACAGGAGCAGTCACATAACAGCAAAGTCTGTGCCTGGAAGAGCCACTACCCTGCCCTCTGGTAAGCACTTTCGCTTTTTCCTGTAAATATCAGGGTATTGACCTCTTCATTTCCTATTGTTCGAAAGCTGCGTATGTCAAAAGGAAGTGGGTACGATTTTTGCTCAGGCCCTGAGTTAAGCACATTTAATGCTTATCGTTTGCAGCCATTTGCAAATTAAATTAACATCCACAACTGCAACAGTTCCCTTTAGGTGCCTTTGTGGAATACTTCCGGTGTTCCAACAAAGTGCACAGGAGGCAGGACAAGAAAGAAAACTGCTGGCCTGCTTAGATGCACTGTCAACAGATGTTGACTCTTTGAGCTGAAAGACCACTGACCAAGCAGTGCACAAGGAAGTTCACGAGCTCTTTGTGGCACCGCTGCATTGCTGTGCCTTTGTGTACCAGCACAGGGAGACAAGGAGCAGAAGACATGCTGGGAAGAAGCTAGCTCTCCCTGGTATACAGAAGCACATCTTCCTGAGGAACAAAATGCTGGGCCACAGCTGTCTAGTCACGTTCCAGCTGTTATATTTATCATGGAGAGGGCAAGCTTTGGCTAACCATTAACTGATAGTACTGCACTGGTACCCAGCTGCCTCATGGAAGTTAACTCTCTCACTTGTTGAAGCCGTATTTCCTTCCTTCCTACCCAGCTTCTAAGCATCGATGCTTGTAAAAATGGAACATAACATTAAGCTACTAGACCTAGGAAGCATCCGCGCTACAGCATTCCCATCCGGACCATGAAAAGTTACATCAAAACTCCTACCCCTTTAAATCTCCTTCAGAAAAGAAATTATATATTTATATATATAGTTACCTATTCTATGTCTTCCACATCACCAACACACCTCATAGCCCCAGGTGTCTAGTTGTGAGATGCATTATGAACTTTCTATACCTTTATTTCAGAAATTAAATGAGACTCCTCTCTATTATGAGGTCTTATATTCAGGCAAGAAGGCATTTACCTTATGTTAACAGACAATAATAAACACATTTTATTTAATAAATTTTATTTATGCAAAGCCAATCCAAAAGTGTTATGTAAAAGTGAAAAGCTCTTTTTACATATCAATAAAAACTTGTGTTTTTTGCAATTTCATTGTGGGAAGAGTGAAGACTTAACTGTTTTATTTACAGGAACCCACTAAGTTTGTTTAAAAATATAGACACGGGTATTCAGTCACTCTTATTTTCCCTAAAAGCTAACTGCTGTACAGTATACAATAGCTCAAGGTGCCCAAATAACCAAGGGTATCCCATGACAATTTTACTATACAACCTTTTTTGTGCCCGATTAAGGATATTCTTGCTTTGATATAATGCTTCTGCTTTTTTTTCCCCCTTAAATTTATACAGTAGTCAAATTATATTACTATGTCACATCTAGTACTTTCTTAAGGAAGAGAAGTTACGTCCCTTGACCTTCCAGTTCTGCTGGTGCTATATCTGGTTCTTCGTCATTGTAAATGTTTTCTGCCTAAAGACACAAAATGTTACATTATAAGTGGTAGACAACTGTTTTTAAGCAAACTTCTATACTTAACATATAAACAAACAAATGTGATAATACCAAGAAGATAGAGAAATCATCCACTTCTTAAGGGGACCTCTCTCTGCCTTTTCTTAAAGGGCAGCCAAACTCTGGAACATGCATACAATGGCCAGACATCAGCAGTTGCTCTCCCACATTATTTTATTTCAGTAGGATAAGCCTTAACCATTCAATTCCTTAACATGAACATTTCTTTCTTTGGACATGCTTCAACCTCAGCCTGAACACACAAAATAAACTGAAGAACAGGTATTAAAGCTAACTGAAAGGCTGACCTGTGACACAACTTTAAGTTTGATAAATGTTTTTGGTTAAAGATGGGCCTTGTGTTATTGCAAAGTGATTTTATTCCATTTTTATAGGATCAGTTCTTGTAATGTAAAATACTGTGAACTAACTGCAGAGTTAAAAGGCATCTTGCTTCAGTCAACAGGCAAAAAAAAATCAAGTCTTTACTAGTAGCAGATACAAATTCCCAACTGCCACAAATATTAACATGAACTAGTACCTAAGTCTCAGAGTCAAGAATTAGATATCTGTTGCATCTAATCAGGCTGTTGTACTGTTTTTCTTTTGAAATTCTTACTCTCCAATCACATAGTGTGAGAAATGTTGAGGAAAGACTGCTTTCAGTCACTGAAGGCACAAGCTGCTCTAGGAAGAACAAGCCATTTCAGTTCCATTTATGCAACAAGCTTCAGAGGAACTCAGGAGCTGTTTTGACACTCACCATTTGCCATATCTGCATTATGTTGTCCTCCGATACAGAGCAGATCACCCAAGGCTCATTAGGATTCCAACTGAAGTCTGAAATTTTGGCAGTGTGTCCTCCATGAATAAACTGTTAAAAACAACAACAACAAAAATGAACAAAGAACACAAGCTTCAGCGAGCCATTTAATCTCTAAAGAAAAATCTGTTGAAAAACAGAGATTCAGAAGTTAAATTTGTTATGCTGACGACTGTACAAAGATGAAAAAGTTGCTGCTAGAGGTTCACAATACAGATGTAAAGAAGGTGTGTGCGAAATAACATGTTTTATTCATTGCTTATGGACATGGATGCAATTGCTGAGGCAGCATTTAAGACAGCAGTTCATGTTATAGGAACAGCCAAATGACGTCCCTGAAAAGGTGCTACTTCACACAAGATTGGGCTACGAAAGCCAGCCACATTTTATAACCACTTTCTCATCTAATTATACTAGCACTTGTACAGTTTACACAGGAAGTGGAGAAAACGAGGTATAAGCATTTTTAGTAGCTTATTTCCTGAGGAAACAAAAACAAAACCTAAGCTTTGGACTTCCTTTATTTTCATCATTAAAGCTGGCTACACAGACCTACTTGGTCTAAGGCAAAATAAACAGTCTCAGGCCATGGCTTTACACACTTTCAGTTGTGAGAGTACTGACAAGCACACGACCAAACTAAGGATGATCAAAAACGAAGATGTGTAAATCACATCTAGTGCAGCTTTGAAAATCACTGTCTTTAGAACTGAACAGAGGGAGCCACTGCAAATTACATCAGTGCATTAAAAGCTGGGTAAGTGAGAAGGTGCAAGAATTGCTGCAGTTTTAGTAGCAGTCACAAGGCATCATACTGCCATATAGCTTGTCAGCAGTTGAAATCTGGACAAAAGCATACCAAGAGTTCAGGAGGCCCATCTTCCGCATCCTCTGCAGACTGCTCTTCTCCAATTTTACTGCAAGAAAGTAGTTTATACCTTTTATTAAAGAGCAAAATTGCAACCTGTATCAATTTAATTTACCAGTTCCTAGCCTTTGTTTCCAGAATTTGCTACTGCTTTTGGTTTCCCTCACTGTTAAAAGGTTACCAGCCACAGATACAAAACAAACTTTTGTTTTCAGTACTGAAATAAAATCTAACCTGTGAAGCACGCTGAGGCAGAAAGCACTAAAGACAGCAGAAAGCAATTTTATCTGCAAGAAATCCTCACAGAAAAGTAACATCAGAAATACTGTGCTGCTTGAACAGCCAGGTCTGAGTTAAGCAAGCTAGGAAGGCTAAAAAACACTATAAATAAAGTCTACCAGATAAAGCAAGTCTGAAGGCTTTCTTTTTTTTTTTTTTTTAAAAGCATTTGTCCATGTTCAAGACAGCAAATGAAAGAATTGCTCTTCACCTTAAATCCCACACATTAAGCCGACGATCAGTACCACTCGAAGCAAGAATTGTTTCATTATGAGGAGACCAGTGAACCTATTGAAAGAGAAAACTTGACCGTAGCACAATTATTGATTTCTAACGATATCCTGAATAAACACTACCTGACCACTAATTCTCAACGGCTAGACCCAATACATTAGTTTCTTCCAGTACATCACACATTTTACAGCACAAATAGATTGCCTTAAAGTCTTTGATTCTTCAAACCAAGCAACCAACATTATTTCACTGTTACAGAGTTGCATTATGATGAAACTTAATTGCCTAAAATTCAGTGTTACTTGGATACTACTAAAAAGGCAGAGTTCACTACATTAGACATGAACCTAAGTTCTCTCCGCAGCAAGACATTTCAGAGAAAACCTCTACCTTTACTGAGGGTAGTTACATGCTCCCAATATCTTTACAGCAGTAAGTTGTTGACTACTTGCTTCATTGTCAGTCATTGAAAGAAACTATGTAGTAGTCTGCATTAATTGAACCAAAATTCAGTGCTTAGTTTTAAGCACTGAATTCATTGTGCTTGGTCACCAGATGAAAGTCTACGTTCTTGTCCCAGTCACTAATTAGTATTTTCTTACAGGCTGTGTAAAAAGTTTACCCACCTGAAAAATTTCATCCTTATGAGACTCAAAAGAATGGAGTTTCAATTTTAAGTTTCGAAGATCCCACAGAGCCACCGTCTGGGAGAAGGAAAATACATCATTTTTCCTATAATGGCTTTTGAAATATCATTTAAGAATATGAACAGATTTAAAGTAAACACAAGTAAAAACCTTGTCAGCCGAACCAGTTGCTAAGATGAACTCGCTGTATGGATTGAAGGACAGGCAGTTGACCTCAGCTGTATGAGCATCTACAGAGTGACTTGGCTTTGACGTTGTATTAGATCTTGTGTCCCAACTGTCGCAGTCAAGGGTTTGGAGAAGGAGGGAGTAAGAAAGAACAAGAATTAAGTTTTCTTTTTTTTTTTTTTTTTTAAACTACACTACACATTAGTTTAAGAGAGTACTTTAGTAAAAGTAGACTGAAGCTACCGTTTTTATTTCAAAACCTTTCAGGCTTTTTGCCTGTTGCACACAAGCAGTTCTCATCAGGAAGCTGATATACAGATTAATTACAGTTTATTTTCAAAGGAGATGCAGATTTTGGAGAATCTGCAGCACTATTATAGTTGATCGCACTGGAAAGCTGCATCAGACCATTGCAGATCTTTCTTTTTTAATGACAATTCACATGCTCTGGACCAGTACACTGACAGCACACAGCAGGTACTACCCAGAAACTGCCCTAACCCAAACTTACATCATAAGCTTCTGATCATCAGCCACAGATCCAAACAGAGACTCGTGGAGCAGATGCCACGCCACATCTTCTACTACTGCAGAATGCCCAGTAAAGATTGCTTTTGCATCAACGATTTTGCCTTCTTTTGGTCCAGCGCTTATATCCCATAAACACACAGTCTGTAAATAAGAACCACATTGTAGTGTCATCAGGACTTTAGCTGTGTTAACTTTAAAAAAAGGATCACATTCTACGTATAAACAGAGATGACACTCTTGAAACAGTACTTTGTTTTTAAACAAAACAAAACAAAACATTTAGCATGCCATAAATGAGAAGTCAATTGAGTTATCGATCAGTTTTCTGCAAATTCAAGGCCCAAAGATTATTTCTGAGATCACAACAGCAATTTACAAAAAGCATCCCTATTTCAGTACCTTGTGATTTACTTAGAAAAGTGACAAAAAAAGTTAGCTGTTAGCGCAGTGGATCAGTTTCATAGTAATTTGCGGCCTCAGATTCAAGTCAGTTTAGAGGGCTGTTGCACACCAGTTTCTTCCAGCAGACATCTGTAAGAACGTTCTGTTCTCACTTCAGCCAGACTGATAACAAAGAACTGGTTGTTGATTATAGCCAAAAGCCAACCACCATCCTTCAGAAATATAACACGTTAGAGTTTTCCTACATAACAAAGTTACACTCAGCCAGCTTTTCCCTAATTATCTGTTACAGCTTTTTTTTTAAAAAAAAAAAGGGGGAATGATGTGTTTTTTACGTGATCATCTGATGCACTGAGAAGATGTCCACTCAAGTTTGAGTTCCATGACAAACCATAGCCTTCTTTCTGGTGCCCTCTTAATCTGAGGTCTGGATTACACTCTCCACTTGGGTCTGAAAGAGAGGAAATTCCCTTCGTTTACTTTTTCTTGCACATCAATCCATAAGAGCATCTTTGTCACTGTTTCTGTCACAATAATCATATTTCATGCATCAGCCTCACAGCAGAGTGCTGCTCTGGAGATTGAGGGCATTAAGAATAACCAGACATTTAAAGTCCCTGAAGATCTGAGGCTTCATATTCTGATTGTAGAGCCCATCACCTCTTCTCCCAGTTAGTTAAATACCAGTTTAACTCACCGTACAAGGCATTTTGCTTAGCTTCAAGGAGTCTGACCCACCTGGTTTTGAAGGATGTTTAGTGTAGTCAAACACCAACACATCAGCGGACGGCGTTTTTGTAGCAATGATGCAGGGATTCTGTGGCATGTAACGAGCACGGTTTACTTCACCTTCATGGTTAATTTTAATCTCCGTTTCAATTTTGCCAGTCACAGATCCGAAGCCACCAAACTCTATATTTGTGATTAAAAAAAAAAAAAGTCAGTTGATCATATCAACTACTTAAAATGGGCTGAAGAGCATTTCAGGCTTCTCTCCCACCTCAAGAAACAGCAGTACAAATCTTAGCATAACAATACAGGAAAGCCTATGAAAGACATGCAGCACATGGCACAACACTGCTGACAGTTTAGGTATGTTGAATCCTCTCTGACATAAACTCTTCCAGAGCTTTAGTGTCTGTTAGAAGTATATTAGTTCTCATCATAACAAACAAAGTTGGCAGAAATGCTAGTAGGAATTGCACATCATAGCATCAGATAAAAAGAGGAAACTTCTTACTTTGGAAGAATTTGTTTGCTGCTAATGATCTAGAATTAGTTTGAACTGGTAAGGATTCACCAGCTTTAGTATTTAACAGGAAGTTAGAATACCCTTTGACAGGACACTTATTAGTGCTATTATTGCTAAAGTATAATTTAAGAACTCATGCTCTGCCCACCTCCTTTCTCACTGTCATGTTGAGAAGCATCAAACTGATCGTCGTTGGGAATCTGGACTCTTGCAACAACCAGGTGGTTCTGTTCATCAGAGGTGTGTGTTCCCAAAACCAGCCAGTGCAGCGCGTAATCCTTTCCTTCTGGCCTGTTTGGAATAATTAATTCATGGAATAAAATCACATGCTTAGTTCTGGAATCTAGAGAGCTAGCATCAATAGAACTCAGGATCCAAACTTCTTTGGGGAGCTAAAAAAAAACAAAAAAAAAAGAGACTTGCAGAAGAGATTATTTTGTCACAAGAGACTTGTGCAGTAGAGTGAGCTAGACTGACACAGGCAATCCAGTGAGACAGCCAGCTAGCCCAGCGTGATGATACAAATCAGTAAGAACTGCCGTTGTTACTCAAATGGGACAACTGAAATTTGCACAGTAGCTACAGGGTGATACTAACACGTATTTCTATCTTCAATTCTCCCAGCAATTGCACGGTACTGATTTAGAAAGCTATTGATGCTATGTTCTATAAAACACACAAACTGAGGAAAGTGGCAACATATTTTAGTTACTTCTTTTATGAGCTTTTACTGGTTACTATTTTATTAGAGCTTTCAGATTCTTGTTTTTAAACTAAACCTGTCTAACCAGATCAAACTCCTCTTCTGGCGGTTAAATGCAGTATTTGGTAACCAGCAAAAGGCTGGAGGGGCAGTGACATTTGTTTCCTAAAGGAAAGAATTGAACAGTCAAGAACAAGCAGCTTCTGCATTTTTGAAAGCAAAAAAAACAAACAATTAGGCTGTCTGAATCCAAGCAAGCAGGAGTCATTTAAGCAACCATAAACCACCGTAGGTATTGTTAACACTGCTTCCAAGGCAGTGTAATACAATACATACATTTTGACAGCAAAAAGGAAATGCACACAGAATGCACGCACACTTACTTGCATCAGGAACAGGTGTCCCATCATGTCAGGTGCCATACAAAGAGACAGTCCTTGCCTTAAATGGCTTACATATTTTGACACTGGGTAATTGGAAATACCAGGTTTTAAACTGAACATTAAGTCAATCTGCAAAACACGAGGCAAGCAGAAGTGTTCCTCATAAGGGCTCCACACCCTCAAATCCCCACTCCATTTTCTCCATGCCATGATTAGTTAGCTCACATCTCTTAACATCTTCCCCCAGACATCCTGGTATGCAAATCTGGTTATCTAGCCACTAAGCAAAATATCATTTATGTAAGGTGGAATTTCAGAGTGGGAAGTGACCATCCTCCAATTATCCCATGAACTTTACATGTAAGATAATTGAAAACTTGACTGTATCCAGATTACAATAGCTGAGTGGGTACTCTGACAGCTGAACCTCTCTAGTAGCTGATGCATGAACAGAATCTATGTTCATCTCCAAAACTCTTTAAGAAATTAACTGGCAAGCATACAACTTTCAGAGGGAGGTGGAAAAATGGGAAAGCACCAGAAGTCAACAGCAAGCCAGGCACAAACATCAGCCTTATGAGAACAATAACCCCTTAAATAATCTCAAACTAGGAACAGCAAGAAAACAAACAAGAAAACAGAGAGATGATACGGCTTCTACAGAATAATTTGTAGCGTAAATTAAGAAAAATCTTCAAGAAGTTGAGTTTGTTTCTTAGTTTTCTGGGAATTTGCAATATAAGACTGTTGTGTCTCCTATCTGTGAAGTGGCAAAGATTTATCCCCTCACACCTCATGACATCTTTTATTTAGCTGAGCTACCATTCCCTAGGGTACCGAATTTTGACTTTTTTTCCTCAAAGCTTCCGCATACCCAAAGGGTTTTGACCGCTGCAAGCACAATAAACCATGACAGTCCAAAACAAGCAAGCGACGGCTGTTTTTTTTACCAAACCTCCGTCGATTTTACCCTCGGGCGGGCAGGTCAAACAACCCCAGAGCCGGGTGCCTTATGTGCGTGTGTGTGTGTGCTGGGGGGGGTCTCATCCCGCCGTCCCCTCACCTGGTGACGTCGGGCAGCCACTGCACGGTGAGGCTGGGCCACTCGAGCGCGTGTGTCATCACCAGGTCGTAGAGGAACGGCGTGTTCTTCTTCCAGATCCTGTACTCCTCGCTGATGACGCGCTCCTCCACCGTGTCCTCCAGCGCTGCCATGAGGGGGGGAGAGGAGCCAGGGGCTGAGCGGGGGGACACCAACCTCCCCCCCACACCCCCTCCCAACCCCCAAATCTCCTCAGCCTACCTTCCTTGCCCGCCATGTTGGGGGGCGGCCGTTAACGGTCTCCCGGGGAGCGGTTGGAGGGGGGGGGAACGGAGGAGCGCGCGCGGCTCCCGCCGCCGCCCGCCCGCTGCCGCCCCGCGCATGCGCGGCCGCCGCCACCGCCCAGGGCACCTCAGCCAATGGCGCCCGCGGCGCTGTGAGGGGAGGGAGGGCTGAGGGGAGGTGGGGCTGGAAATAAAAACTGCGGGGGCTTTACGTGAATAAAAACAGGTCCACCGGCTGAGGACTTTATTTATTTATTCGTTATCTATCTATCTATCTATCTATCTATCTATCTATCTATCTATCTATCTATCTATCTATCTATCTATCTAATCGATGGTGGTGATGATGAATGTGTCTCAAATGCCTGTGACCCAAATGTGACTTGCGCTCAAATTCCTCGCGGGGCGGGGGAATATTAAAATAATAATAATAATTCAACACCCCTGAAAGTGCCAGATTTGGGAGAGGAGCAAGCATGCTGCCATGCCGTGGCCCCCTCTGTGAGCTCTCCTCCCCGTTACGGGCAGTTTTACCCCGTGTGGCAGCAGCCCGTGCACGCAGGGCATTGGCGCTGGGGGTGGAGAGGAGCGGTGCTGTTATTTATTGGCACATTTGTAAGTTTTTATGAGAAGGATCCCGGGTAAATTCGGGAAGGAGGGGCAGTGCTGTCGACGAGAGGAGAATGAAAACAAACGCGCTCCTTCTCCTCACCGAAAAATGTGAAAAACCGCTTTCCAACAATTACATATCCTAACGGCTTAGAATTATATATATATATATATATATATATATATATATATATATATATATATTTAACATCAGTTTAAAAGAGGATTTTATCAAGAGCAAGCCTTTGGGGCACGGAGCCGGCTGCAGGCTGCCGTGCGGGGCCGCGGGCGGCAGGGGGCGCCGCGGTGCCACCGGGCGGGCGGGAGCGGCAGGGCCGTGTGGCGGGGCCGGGGGTGTGGTGGTCCCTCACTCAGCGGTACTCCGAGTTACTCAAGTTTTAAGTCCTTTTGGTGTTTAAACGGGGGCAGTAGTGCTGTCGGACTGCTGTGGGGACACGGCTTCTTCCAAGCTGTCACATACAAGGCAGAATGGTGGTTTTGCCGCGGTGCCCACGCAGCCGTTCTGCTCTCCTCTCTTGTTTCGGCTGCTACCAACCAAAAAAAAATAAATTAAATAACTTGCTTTCTATTCAGCTTGAATCAACAGTGCTTGCCGCAGGTGTCACCCTTAACCAGAGCAGATAATAACACCTTCCAGCAGAATAATGAAATGGGAACAGGGCGAACAAGAGGCAGTGCTTTTTAATTTCCCGCTGTGAAAAGAGTCCTGGTGGGCTGAGCCTCCCACCGCCCGGGCTCCAGTCCTTCCAGCAAGGATCCCAGTTATGGGAAATGTGTATAGGAGAGGCCGGCGGGCACCGAGGCTGGGAATAGCAGCCAAAGGTTGCAGCACGGGAACTGGGGAAGAAGTCAGAGGTAGGCAGGCAGCCGCCTCCCCAGCAGGAACCACTGCCTTTTTGGCCCAGGTGTCAAAAAAGAGAAATATTCCAGTGAAAAAGCTGAATAACTATATACTAGTCTTCCTCTTATACCTGCACAAACTGGAATTAAAGCCATGCATGGCATATTCAAAACATGAATGTTGTTAACTGGAAGCTGTAAACTAATCTGCTAGATAGGAGTGCATGGGTGAATGTGTTAGTGCAGACACAGAGCCCTGATCATGCAAGATGTGTTACCAGCTTGACTTTGGCTACGCTTACTTGTTGTTTTGGTATTTGCTGCCAAGTATGTGTCTAATCCTACAAAGTGCCTGAGGCCTTCCTAAAATGTTAGCAAGTGAAGACTGAGCCTTTCAGAGGCTGTGTGTTGTTGCAGAGTGTTGATCACTTAAAACACAGATACAGGGTAAAGGAAATCTCTGTTGGGTTTCCTGACTGCGAGTGACCTCTGTTAGCTCTCATTGAAGTGTGATTACAGAGACCCTTGAAGGATCAACCCCACATGAGTGTGGGGTGGGATGCTGTTTGTGCCTTTTGCTGTGGATAGCAGTACTTTCTGCCACAGCTTACCTGGAATGTGGTGGGAAAAATGTGATTTGTGTTTGGAACAGTAAACAAAATTGTCTTTCAATGATTCAATGATGTCATGTTGGGCTTGGCTGAACTATAGATTTAGACAGGAATTGCTCCTCAACCCTCCACAATTTTTATAGACTCTGTTTAGGATCTGCAAATCAAGCTGGATTCTAATGGGGTGCAAGGAGCAGTGCTAGTTTTGATGAACGAAGTCTGCCACACCTATATATCAAAAGTGACCTGTGCAGTTCTCTTTTCCTTGTTAGCAATTATATTTGCACACAGCCAAATTTGCTTTTAATTTAAACCCACACAACACCCAAATCCTAGTGCTTTTCTCACATTGGGACTGTCATGGGAAAGACAGTTTATAACCATACAGCTATCAAAGAGTACACATCACCAGCTCTCAAGCTGGTTATTTGCAATTCATCAGCACGGTCGTATCTGTGGCCACACATCTAAAACATATCCTTTGATCCCACGCTTTGTGAGGAAAGTAATTATCCAAGGCCGTTGTTCATCATATGCAGCATGTGTAAAAGGTACGATAAATTAGTTTTGAAGTAAAACAGTGACTTGAATCATAAGCTTTATTTTATTAAGCTATACTCCTTTCAAGCCTAAGCGTGAAATACTGCATTTTCATTTCAGTAAAAAAAGAATCTGTCTTCTGCATCCTCAACTGTATGTGCTGCATCGTGATTCAAATTGCCAGATACACTTACAGAGAATTATCTGCACTTATTAATTTTCAGCTTGGAGACATGTGCTGATTTATTAGTCTGCAAAGAATGAGCTGGCTTGCCGGTGCTTATGTCTCTTATACATTATGTGGAGCTGATGGATGCTCATAGCAACAACTCAGCAAGTAGGTGTAGGCCTTACTGTGAATAACTATCTCGGTTAGAACATTGGTTAACGAGAAGTGGGCTTGTACAAAACCTCAAAATAGTCATTGGAAAAGTAAAGTAGCAGCCCCATGACTTATTATTCTCAAATATATTTGCTACTGTCATAGTCTTGGGAGCCTGTTTGGAATAAAGCATTGTTTTCATCAAACATGCTGGTAAGAAAAGCACACCACAGATTAATTGATGGAAACCTCTGTTCAGAATCTCCTGAAGTGCGATGGCATTCTTTTTCCCATTGCTCATCCACTATTTCTTTGTATTTACCCAACAGGTATTATCTCCTCGTTAAAAAATCTCACCTAATCTCATCAATACCCGGCCATCACAGAAGATCTTGAGCTGCAGCAGTGACCTGGACTTGTTCTTGTCCTATATGACATGAAGTTTGGGATCTGTCTAGTGACAGCATGTTTCTGTCACTTCACTTCTACACGGGCCTGGCTGTGTTTCATCCTGATATGCAGTATACATAACCCTGTGTGGCCATGTGCAAACAATAGCTTTGGCTTTACAACGGATAAAGTACGTTTGTAGGAACATTGATGTTAAGGGGACTGGCACAACTCACTCTGAGATTACATCCAGCACTGGAGACCAATCCTCCACTTCTAGGTGGGGTTAACCGTTCCAGCTTCTAGGTGGGGTTGTTCCCAAGTATCAGGATACTGCAGGAAGAACTCCCAGGCTGCACGCTTTGGATAACTAGCTACTGTTTTCACACTTCCAGTGGACTTTTGTAGATTGAATTGAAGTTCGTGCTGCAAACAGGAAGGAATCCTCTGCCCATCTTGTGCATTCCCTCAGTATTCAGGAATTGACCTTTTACCTTTTTACCTAATGTTTTACCTTTGGTGTAGCATATGCTATATATAAGCATAGCTTATGCTGGAAGTAACAAACACAAACAGGAGCTTCTTCTCATATAGCAAGTCTCCCTTCTTTACCCCAGTCCCTCCAAAACACCATTATTATGGCACAAAGCCTAGACTTATAAATCTAACCCTGCTGAACACTTTTTTGTTGAAATTAACTGCACTATGTGCTGTTTTGCATGCAATGCATTTCCAAAATGGTGTGTTTTTGTTGTATAGTCTGCTGTAGTTCTGCTGCCTGCTGGTCTGCACAGATGACTGCTCATAAGCAGAGTGTGTGGACCTGTAGGGGTATTAGAAGACAGGAAGAGAATATTTTGCTCTGCACAATATGCTTTGGCTTTTAGATAGAAGTAACAGATGTGAGAATTTGTACAAAACCAATTTATTTTCCTAGAAGTACAGATGCTTAAATGAGCACAAATGGGGGGATTTGCAATAAAAGGAGGGACACATCTGTCTTCTGAAGCTTGCAGCATTCAGCTTGGCACAGTGAAGTTCATCACTTGTAGCCTTGGCCTTTCCCCTTCTGATCTCAGGGGAATTTGGGGAGCAGGGGTGGGTTAGTTTCAAGCCTATGTCTGGGTCACAGGACTCAGGGGAGACTAATCCAGAAGCTGCTGTTTGCAGTTGTATTGGAAGGAGTGAAGGCAAACTGCTGCTCTCCACAATGCACTGAAGCAGAGTGAAGTGCAGGAAAGTGACTGTGACTGTAACAGGAGGTGCCAAAGAAGGCGAAGGGGAGATGTTTATCATCACCTGCTTCCTCCTCATCCTTCACTCGAGGACTTCTACAGTGTTCAATGAACGAAAGTGATCTCTGCACGTTCCTTCTAATCTTTGGGAATCTCTCCCTACCTGGGCTTCCTGGCCTCTTTTTTTCAGACTTCTGTGAGGTCACCATATGGTTCCTTTCTTTGTTCTTCACCCTCATCCTTCTGAGACTTGAAGCAATTAATCATGGCATTATCGTCAGGGTTCTGGGTGTCTCAGAGGTGGGTCCACTGAGAAAGGAACTGTGCCAAGCTCTTTTAGCTCACCAAACATCTTCTGTGGCAAGGAAGATTTTTGTTTGTTCTGTTTGATTTGCTCATTTTTTCTGGCAGATCACCCTCAGGTGCAGTCTTCAAAAGCTCTAAAGACCTTGAAGTGACCTGAAGTTCATCATGCTGTTAATGCGTTTTGCATTACATTTCAGAGCATGCTTTTGGAAGCAGCTTAAACCAACCTAAGTACATAATAAAGCTGCAAGGAGTAGGCTTG